CATATTTTCTCATTTTTACGAGATAGTTTTCTTGTTATAATAAGATCCAGTTTAAAAATAATTTCATGTCATGTGGCAGCTCTATGCTTCCGTACTGCTGAGATGAACAGTTGTTGAGATATTTGCATGTGAAGTAACAGGAAGTGATGTCAAAGGGGAATGTCTGCATGAAAACAGAGCTAAGCTAAAATGCTGAACAGCCCAGACTGTGGAGAGAAATCTGATGTTTTAGATTATTTTGAGTTTCTATCAAACAGAAACAAAAAAGTCAGATTTCAAATCATAATGTTTCAATAAACAAAGACAAGTGAGTACTTTTTCTTAAGGAGTTCCCCTTTGATGTCACTTCCTGTTTCACTTTTGCTAAGCCAAGTTCAAAAGAAAATTGGCCAGTTATGTGTCCAAATGTGTAAAACAATGTGTGGTATGACAAGTTTCTTAAATAGAACAAAATTTTCTTTGAATTTTTGTATCTGAAGGATAAGCATGTCACAGGCACTTTAAAAGGTACCTTGTAAATATCCTGTATGTACCTCTGTAAGTAACCTGTAAATACCCWAATAGTATTTTGTTAATTAGGCTTGGGCAGTATGACGGTGTTGTGGTATATTTGGTACTGAAATATGATGACGGTATTAAAAATTATGATGGTGTGAGTCACGTGAGGTGAAGCYCATCTGTTACGCCTCTTAACCGCCATGACTCGCCAACTCGTGAAAGGTGGGTTGGCGTAATGCAGACAGCTTCAGGGACCACCAGCGGTGGGTTTCTTAAAGTCAAACCACCTCTGTTGGATTTGCCCGAGACCCACGAGCGGACTGATTTTCAGACCTTTGTGGAGGGAGATGAGAAGTTGATCTTTTCTACAGATCTGATCCAAGTATCGGCTGATCTCTGATCTCCCAAAAATAAGGAAATTGGTATRTTTTAAGTACCTTGTATTTACCTTGTAAGTATATTGTATGTACCTCGCCAATACCTTGTTTGTGTCTACTTTACATTGTACTGTAAACCCTTGTTCGGCCAYCAAATAAAGGGTACGATGACAGTCACACAATCTTGGACATCTTTAAACTGGGTTAGATTTTGCTTTGTGAAAATAATCCAAGGGCCTGAAATGTGACCAAGAACTTTTACTCAGACACATCAGATGCAGACTGGGCCYTATCCAGTAAAACCTATCTTTCAGAGACCAAGTATGACTTGAGCGTTTTTATCCAAAAAATAAAAAATAAAAAACCCTGCAGAAATATTTTGAAGGTTTTATTTTCTTTTTCCCAATTCTGAACATCAGGCAGAAATTWGACCAATTGATAATCATGAAGGGAATAATCGGGGACAATGCTTTTTGGTCATCTCGTGTCTGTGAAATCAAATTTTTATGAGAAATAAAGATGTAGGTTACCCCTAAAACAAGAGTTAAGGGCCGATGATTATAGATGTTATAAGGTTCTGGGTAAACTTAGACTGCAGTAAGTGTAGATATAGTAGAATCTGTGTTTATGTCTAAAACGGCTCAGTTTTTACCATTTTTATTGTAAATTGCTGGAAGTAAGKCAATAAACTTACATCCTGCACCTAAACATTTATTATTCACCTGGTGCTGAATATTTTGATCCATTCTCAATATATTTTTACRGCATTTCCTAGTAGATTATAGGGAATCCATATTATTCTGCAWTCATTGCTTCTTGGAAAATAAAAATTGCGTCTAATAGACTTTAGCTACCAAACTGAAATGGCCATCACATCATTTTATCAATACTTTGGGTCTATGTAAACACTTATAATAAATATATTTTTGTTCTTTTTTGATACTAAAGTTTCCTCCCARCCTTGGACTATAAAATAAAAAAGGGTATAAAAACTAATAACACACCACTTCTGATCCACAAGCACATTTTTTTAACATATTTTTTGCAAGTTTTACTCCAAAACCATGGGAGTAGCAAATAGAAAATGAAGAAAAAAGACAGAACAGTAACAGGGTTATTTCAGTGCGTACATTAGCTTTTATAAACAGCATTTGATTRATGACTGTCGGACTCAGATTACTGACTACATTCTGAAAAGTGAACTYAAAAAGTGAACCAAAATCCTGAATGTTTTTCATTTGTTTAACGCAACCATGTGCAAATTCTGACACGGCTTTGTCTTAAAGCCTGAACGCATTCACAGAAGTCTGTCCTAAATCAAAAATAAATCATGTTTCTGGCTCAGAACCATAGATTTTTTTTAGTTATTTTTTTTATATTTTACACAAACTAAATAAAACTCGGTCTCTTAACTTTGACCTGATGTTTACACCGACGTGCAGCCGCCGGTGTAATTTACCGTCTACGTCTCCTCACCTGAGGAACACGGCTGCCGCCTGCTGGTTTGTGCTGGACTGAGAGCCGTCCTCCTCYTCTCCGTCCGTCTCGCTGTCTTCGGAGTCCTCCTGGGGAAGACGACGGTGAGTCAAAACAAACACCCGTACGGGACGACAGCAGACGCCCTCGGCTGTGAATCATCACTCACCTCCTGCTCGGACTCGGTGCCGGACAGCTTCTTATCTTTGCCTTTGGAGCCTGTGCCTCCGTTCTTGCGCCCAGACCCTGGTTTTCTTCCCCTACAAAACATAAAACTAAAACTAAATAAAAACTTCCCCCAATGTCTAGATTGTGATGTGTGTTTATAACTCTTGATTMTATTTGTTGTACCGAGATGTACGCAACAATTAAACAGATTCTATTAAATATTGATTATGTTTTGATATTTTATTTACTACAGGATTTGTTGATCTGTCAAATTTATTTCACTGACAAAACATATGATGACATCACTCTGAAAACTTCTTTGAGTTTTATACCATAACATGCCCAGAGTGTTGCTTTGACTCATTCATGCCAGTTTGAGAAATCCTTGAATCTCCTATGGTAGCCGCGTGGAGCTGCCTGCATGGTTGCTGGTACAAAGCTCCGCCTATTTACACAAAGCTCCTCCCTATAGCTCTGTTTACAGCCAGCCCCACCCCAATCACAAAGCACCCATTCCTCTAAAGCACTGTTGTGAAGAC